TTGACTTACCCATTAGCAGAAAGGGGTGAGGTGGCCCAAGAGCCCTTTGAATTTTGATTTCCCAGCTAGCCAGATACCCATACAAGGTGCAAATTTAAAACTACACGACTTTAGAATTAGTCAACCCTTTTCCTTTCGAAATCACAAGTGCAAGTCATCTACACAAGTATTATCTTCCTCTGAGTCTTTAATTAAACTTTCACCCAGCCATTTCTAATTGATTTTGCTTCCAAACAAGATCTTCTTTGTAAAACAAAAGGATAACCAGAGGAGGGGGGGAGATAAGAGGAGATAAAAATAGTTTCTTGTTAACAAGCACTAATGTAACAGAGCCAGGAAAAAATTCCTAGTGTGCAGTCAAATAGAGCCAGAGACTGAGCCTGAAATTGTAAACAAATTACAAAGTTTTTTTCTCTGGAAAGGGCTGTATTTGACATTAAATTAATGTCAGACACATTCAAGTGTATCTTTAAAAGGAAAAATAATTCAGTAGGTTGGAGCTACTTTTTTGCTTGCTTTTACATTTGGTTTACTTCATTCTCTGATTTATGTGTGTGAGGCTGTGGTAAGGAGGAAAAGGAAAGGGGGGAGGTGTGAAATAATATTCCAGGAACTCTTAAGGAGAAATCTAGTAGCATTATTTACTCTTGTGAAAAGAGGATAATGGATGTAAAGTGCTTTGATCTTAAGCGTTTGTCAACTCTTCAGCCTTTTAACCATTATTATTGTGTGGACAGAAAAGCGATGATAATATTCATCCTCTGAATGGTCTAGAACTCCTAATGAAATTGAATGGACTTCTCAACTTACACAACTTTTTAATGATCTACACTTTAGCCTATACCAAGTCAGAAGTAGAAGCCATGGAAAAGAAATGTTTTCCAAAGCATTACATTTCTTTTCTCCTTCACATTCCCAGTGCAAATATGAGGGAAAGAGTAGCCTGATGTGTGTCTGCTCTAAAACACATACCAGAACAAAATCAAATGGAATATGATATTCTATTGGCAATGCTATAAACTGTGGTTTATTTCTAGGTCATTCCACACGCACACACACACAGAAAACCTACTTAAGCAGTGATATAGATAAAACAGTAGTACTAGGGTTCTGATTCATCCTGGCATAAAAAGACTTTGTGGGTTGTCTTGACCACCATTCATAAACAGTGTTTATTAGATTATTCTAAAATAGTAAAAGAAAATTTGAGACACACTGAGTTCGTAAATTAGGTTGCCACCTCTACATTGAGACAGTCTTGGAAGGCACCTTGCTTGTTTTGATACCAAGTTTGCTGCAGGACAAGTGCCCCTCAAACACCTATCCCTTCCTCTCTCTGGAGGGGCAGGTCAAGTAAGTTGGACTTATCTCATGGGCTGTCTGTTCTCCTTCTCACATTTCTTTCTTTTTCTTTTTTTTATAATCAATATTTTTTATTATGATATTGTGGGGTACAGTTAAGGGTTAGGTATACAAATATGCTTCGTTCAGGCACCCTTGTTGATAAGAGGTGTTTCCCCATCCCCAGACAGATATTTACTACCATTAATCCCATGTCCCTTCTCCTTGCCTCCCATAGTTTCCCACCACTGTCAGTCATTTTCTTATAGTATTACATTGGATGTTCAAGGTCCATTATATGAGTGAGAACATGTGATACTCAGATCTTTGTTTCTGTGAGAGATCACTCAATATTATAGACTCTAGTTCCATAGTTCAATCCAGGTTGCTGCGAAAGTCACGATTTTGTTCTTTTTATGGCTGCGTAATATTCCATCGTGTATATGTACCACATTTTTTTAATCCAGTCCTCTTTTGATGGACAGCATGGTTGCTTCCAGGTTCTCGGTATTGTGAACAATGCTGCGATAAACATGCGTGTGCAGGTATCTTTTTCATAGAGTGATTTGAGCTCTTCAGGGTATATGCCCAGTAGGGGGATTGCGGAATCACACTTATGCAGTACAGATGACTTTGCCTGCCTTGAGATGACACGACACCCCCTTCTCTTTGCCCAAAAGGCTTGTCCTTTTTTTGTCCACCTGGTTGACTACCTCTCATTCTCTAGTTCCACCTTTGCCTCCTCTGAGAAAGCCCCCTGACCTGCCCCTGTGGACATGGGAGCTCTTGTATCAGTGCTCTGCTGCTTTCTGGACAGTCTCTCTGCAAGCCCCTGTTTGTGATTTTTCCGTCTAAGGCCTCACTAGGTTAGACGCACCTTGAAAGCAAAAAGCAAACCCGATAAATGTTGTTTTTTGTTGTTGTTTACTGTATGTAGCCTGACACAGTAAACATGATCAATGAGTAAATTAGTAAGGAATAGATGAATGAATGAATGAATAATTCTCTAAAAAAAACCAATTCCTTTGTTCTAATGACCCCTTAATCTTCAGCTGCCATTCTTGTGCCAAGCAACCAAACACAAACATGTTTCTGCCTTTTACAAAAGCAAAAGGCTTACATGGAGGGAAAGAGAAAAAGGAAAAAGAAACAGAAGCTGAGGGGGGGAAAAATAATCATTAGCTAATCGTGATTTAAATATTGGTGAATGGACTATGGGTTAAGTTGAAACTGATAGCAGTTGTTTCATACATTCCCCTCAGATACAGGAAGTGAGGGACATAAGGAGCCAGGAGGAAAGAGATTGTAGATGAAGTTCCTCATGGCCGTTTGGGAGGTGTGTCCTGATGGGAAAGCTGGACCTTGAATCTCGGGCTGCAGTACTACACATTAGCCAGCAGAGGGTGGCCACAAGTAGTGCATGTATTTTTTCCTCCTCCTCAATGTATTCTCCATATCTGTGATACATATCAAACTGGCAATCTTTGTATCCAGAGGTGAAATATGGAAAGTGGCAGGTGTAGTAATTAGTAACTTGTGGGAAATTTTTTGGATGTTTCAATTTGATGCTCGAAGCTAGGGAACGTGAGTTGTTTGGTTGGAAACATGATTATGCAGTTAGAATTAACGTGGCAGAAGCAGAATTATATGCCAAGTACTGTGCTAAGTGACTCACGTGCATCTGCATATCTAACCATTTCAGGAAGTCTTAGGACGCACTGTTTTGTCGGTCCCCATTTCTAGCAGAGGAACTAAGCATTGGATAATTTAAATATCTTGCATAGCCTGGGATTAAAGTGACACTTACTCATATTTGCTGTTACATAAGCCTCCTCAACAGAACTTCCCAGTTTCTACCATAATGCTGCATTTGGCTGAGCTTGATCACGTGGGACCTGAACTGGCTCTAGTCAGTGAAAGGGGCCCAGGGAAAGAATGAAAGCAGAAAGAAGTGAGAAGGGAAAGACATTGTAGAGGTGACTCATCCTAAATCATAGTGTCAAAATCATAATTACTCACCTAAAGGAAAATATGGTATGGTAATTAGGTATTTATGGGATTTTTGTGAAGGTTTCCTTAAATTATTTCTCCCTGATATTCATAATTACAAGTCTTAGGCATTTTATTTACTTAAATTACATCTCCACTGTCTCCCTGTGGATAAATGGGGAGAGTGTGTTTACAACAGCAAAACTCTGTTTGGCCACAACATGAAGCCCAGCACGTCTCTTTAAGACTTTGGTTGTGATGAGCATCCCCTGGGAGGTAAATGTCAGCAGAATTGTGAGGAAAAAAAAAAAATCAAGGTATTTTTAGTTCCCTTTGGCAAATATTTTTGTTTGTTTACTGTGTTGCCAAGCATTGTGCTAAGCACAGGAGTTAAAAGGTACCTAAGACCAAATTCCTGCCTTCAAAGAGGTCTCATATCCAGCTTGGAGAACAGACACACAAATCAATAACCATAATGCAATATGATAAATCCTATCTTAAAAGCATGTGTAAAGAGCCAGGGTGATAGGGAAAGGACAGCTTTTTGAATCTCCCAATGTACAGCAGCTTGTCCTATGGATTAACAGTTAAGATTTTTTCTGATGCTTTCTAAGTTCAGAACTGCAATGAAGTGATGGATAGCTGGGAAGTTTAGTTTTAAAACTGAGCATGAATTTTACATCCTATGATAGAGGACTACCCAGAATTCTGACCATATTCACTCACAAAAATTTTGAAGATACAAAGAAATACGGTAAATACTAATATAGTCAGTCCATTGCTAATCAATACTCATCTGTGGCTATTGCTTTGTTAAACTCTGGTATGTCCACATGACTCTTTGAGCCTTGGCCACCATGTTTCCTAGCTTCAACCCCTTCCCCTACCTTGGGGAGGTGAATCTCTAATCTCTCTCTCTAATTTACTTTCTAAATAAACTATACTTTCCATTATAAAAAAAATACTCATCTGCGAAAGGCTTAATGCATGTAAGACAGCTCAACAGCCAATGGGCAGGGGGTTGAGAAAGAAAGCTTTATACAGAAATAAATCATCAAGCAGAGTAATTTAATTTTATAGCTGAAAATGTCTCAAGAAAACATCTAGGTTAACTCCATCACTTTACAGGTCAGAGAACTGAGGTCTAGCAGCAACAAGTGATCATTTTTCAAATGTCATACATCTATTTAATGGCTGGGACCAGAGCCCTTAGAAGACTGGTAGGCAATGCAGTGAGGAGTTCTACCTGTGAACTTTAGAGTCAGGCAGCTTGGGCTCACGTCCCATCTCCACCACATACTGGCTGGGTTATCTCAAGTAAGTTATTTAAACTCCCTGTCATTCAGACTCTTGTCATTTTTATCTGCAAAATGGAAATCATACCATAGAATCTGCCACATGTAAACTGAGAGAGCATATATATGACAATAATTAAGATTAAAATGAGATAATGCAAAATTTTGACGAGGGATATAACAAAAACTTGGCCAATGCTAATGATTAGAACATATGTGTCCCAGTTTCTGCTCCAGTATTCTTTCTGCCACAACAGAAATGCAAGAAGTGAAATAGGATTTTGTGTGTTGCTTCTCTGACGCAGAAAGAAATGTCTTCTTTTTAGATCCATGTACTCATGTGATGTCTTTGTTCCCCTTACATCTCTTCTTCAGGGCCAAAGAGATTAAGATCAAGTTGGGAATTCTCCTCCAGAAGCCAGACTCGGTTGGTGACCTTGTTATTCCATACAATGAGAAGCCGGAGAAACCAGCCAAGACCCAGAAGTGAGTCATGAATATGGACCCTACTCGTTTTCCTCCAGAAGATAGCTGTTTTTTGAAGTGTTTAGCAACATTCCTCATCTGTAGAACTACCCACTTCAATTCCTCCTTAAGGATCATAAGAGCGCTCAGAGAGTTTATTTGTAAATAAGCTTTTCTTTTCTTCGTTTGTTTTCTATTTTATGTCTAAAGTGTGATGTTGAACACTAGCAGAATAATTAAACAACAAAAAAAGATAACCATGCTTCATTTTTGGAGAGATAGACTATACTTTATAAAATGACACTTGCCACCTCCTCAGTTATTTACCACACAGCAACATATTAAAAATCCTTGTTCATTTACTGCCTCAGGTCAGGTAACCATCCCTGAGTCGATTAATTAAGAACTCTGGACGCTCACTTGCTAGGAAACTATTCAAGGCTGCTTCCTCAGCAGAGAGATGTAAGAGCCTGTCCCTCAGGGAGATGCTAAGAACAAGGCAGACAATTTAAGCCGAATATTTTTCTCTCCAAAATCGTGTCCCTCAAGGTTCAGCAGGATATAGAAAATTGTTAACCAAGTGAGGAATGAATAATTGACTAGCTATTCCCATTTAATGTACAACAAGCATTTTTCTCCGATTCTTGAATTAATATTATTGATTGGGTTTCTGCGCGTCCTCCCTCCCTCATTCCCATCCTCCTCCCACCTTACCCCTGCTTCTCCCGTCAATTTAGGCATCCTGAGGAACTGTAATTCTACTGAGTCAAGATGCTATGGTGGTAAATTCAGGACGGAACATGGATATTTATTTGTTCCTAGAGGAAGAGGATCCAGAGAGAAAAAGAGCGATTAAGAATATGAAAAAAAGTAACAGAAGCTGGCTTTGGGAGTAATAGATGGCATTGTCCCTACTTTTTAACTCAGTGACACTACTCACAGCATTCTTGTTTCTCATCATTCCGCTGGCTACATAGACCATCACTACCTAGACAGATACATGCTATATTCCCTTTAAAACAGAAATACCCATGAAAATCAAGACAGGAAGGTGGAAAGAAGAAAAGACAAGTGTATTCAAACTCCTTCACTCTGCTGCCTAAAAATACAGGAGCCCCTTTCAACCTTCGTTTCTTTTTAAAAATGTAATATTTGTATAAATTGGCCAGTCTGTCTCTTGTCCAAATGACCTTCAACTTAATATAGCTGAATTGGTTGGGAAATAGATGGGTTATTCTTTTCGTTTTTAATCTTTTTCCATCAACCTAAGTGGATATTTCCATTCTCCTATTTTTATTACTTCAAAGTGATCCCAAACCGGAAGTGAGACATAATTGAATTTTCTGCATTTGAAAAGGAGAAGCGAATTCAATGTGAAACGGCAGGCACCGAGCAATAGTGGAGAATAAGAACCACATTTCATAGCAGCAACAGATCAAAAAGTTCAAAATATTGAAGTAAACAATGTGGCAATTATTGATCTGTTGGAATTAACTTTACAAAATATAGTATAACATTTCCTGCTTTGAGTCTCTGCATTAATATCCCACATAGATACTTGAACCATTTGACTTAACAGGGCTTCAGAGCGAAGCTGTTCTGGCAGAAAACCTGGGAGTGACTATTTATTGGATTATTTGTTCCTCTTGTCCTCCATCCTCTTTCGTTTGAATTGTCTCCCTAGAGAATATTTGTGTGTCTTTTTTGCATGTTCAACACTGACCGCTAAAAAAGTTTCCCGTTCTCCTTCAAATCTGTAAACCCCACTCTATCTCTTCCTGCTTGGCAAATTTCTGTGCTTTTTTATCAAACAGGAAAATATTCTGTTCTGCATAAGCTCCATCAATATCTCTTCTCTCTCCTTTAAAATCGTTCTGTGTTTTTTTTACCCATGTTCTCTCAGAGGAGAAAATAATCCTTCTCTTGACAGAAGACATTTTTAATCCCTCTCATCTTGGGATATTGATATCAGTGTAATCCATTTTTTAAAAAGCATTTTCTGTTTTTTAATATGTTTTTTTTTAAATCTCATTTGGAAAAAAAAATGAACCATTGAGAAAAATAGACGGAAAAGAATTGTCTATAACTCCCCAAAGCTGTCTATTACTGTTACTTTTTTCATATTCTCCATCGCTCTTTTTCTCTCTGGATCCTCTTCCCCTAGGAACAAACAAGTTCCTGTGTTCTCCCCTGAAGAAACATACTTTTCTCACCTTCTTCACTTCTGTTCCTATACCTTTCTCTTGCTTCCACTGGCAAACTCTAGAAAGAGCAGTCTGTACTCACTGCTCCCAGTATTTTCTTTGTCTCCTTCTCATCGGGTTTATACCTTACTACCCCATTGAAACTGTTGTCTCTAAGGCCCCATTTGTAGTCTGCAGCGTTGGTTATTGTACACCAGTTGACCTCCTCTTAAAATTTTCTTCTTAACGTCTGATCCTGCGTTCTCTTCTGCCTTTTCTTACTCTGAGTTCTCCCAGTTTGCCAGCCTCTGTATGTGAGGATTCCCTAAGGCTCTGTGGTGGGTCCTCACGATAAATAATAAACAAAACTAGTCAACCATATACATTTAGTTTGTGATGACCGTTATCATGGCTTATAGTCTCAATTGTAAAATATCGATATTCCTATAGTTTATATTCCAAATGTCTCTTTTCCCCCTACTTATGTCAGCAATTTTCAGCTACATTCTGTTGTCGTAGTTGTGCCTACCACTTTATATTGAAGAATGACCTCCACACATCAACAGTACCTCGCCTTGCTACTGAAGAACAGTTACGGAACGTTGTCCCCCATACACTCTCCCCTGGTTAACTGCAGAGCCCTGTGGTGAGGGATAAAGATGTATGCACAATTTGGGGCCCACGTATGGACATGGAAGTTTTTTCTTCTTCTTTTTAAAAATCTGTATCATCATCCATGATACCCAGGTCCCCGCTGGCTGTGGGGTAAGGGCTCATCAGTGTTAATGGACTTGAGACTGGTAAAAAACAGACTGTATTATAGATCAGAAAGAGAGAGAGGAGTAAAAACTTTTAAGTGATAATAAATGACTTGAATTTTATTCTCCTTGTGAAGAGCAAGAACATGCGAGAACATTGCAGGAACATTGAAATATATGCCAGGCAGTGTGCAGATTAAAAGCCAAACCAAACAAAAGCAAAAACAAACAAACCTAAAAACAAGCTCTCGTGCTTAGAGAGGTTAAAACACTTTCCCATAGTTACAGCTCGTAAACGTCAGAGTTGCCAACATCTGTAGTAATGGTTCATGACACTAATCGATTAAAATCTAAGTTTTGGGTTTCAACATCCAGGCTAACTCTGGGTAAAATGAGCCATCATTCATTCATCTATTGATCTGACACATTTATTACAGGGTGGATTGATGCTGTGGGGGAAATATCGTAGGATAGGATAGACTGGGAAGGGCTCTCCAATGACAAGCTATACCTTTTGGCAGTGAGTACATCATTACCATGTGAGAGATTCAGTGAATAAATGTGGTAAGAGCAAAGAGAGAGTGTACTTCTAGCTGAGATGGTCACTTCCTGGGCCAGCTGGCATTTACACTAGGCATTATAAAACATGCAATTAATCATCTCTAGAGATGTTTATTTTGACTTTCTTTTGAACTGGCTTCCTATCTCTCCCCCACACACCCACACACAGAGCCTTCATGCCCACCCTCTGTGATCAGCTATGACCTTGCAACAAGCATGCTTTTTGGTCATTTAGATCTGCATTTCCATTGAAGTCAGACTTAATGAGGGTTGGAAAATTCTGAGAATAGGGACAGGATGAACCTCTGCTACCTCCTAGGCTGGTAATCAGAACACTGGGCTTCATGCTGTGGGGGTTGTGTCCTGCTTGACTGTGCCCTTAAATCAATTTAGACTAATTTCACCCCAAGTGGGCTATGCACATGTCCTTTTCAGGAATTTAATCTTGGCTGTGAGGTGCTGCTGATTCTAACAAGGCTACTTGGGGGGAAATTAGATCTGGTAACATGCTTAAGTTTAGAGCACCTGCTCATGTCATTTCTTCTTCCTTTGCTTCTCTTACTAATCAGAGGTCAAGGAGGGTGAGAAGGTGATTTCATTTAATGAGAATATTTATAAAATCAGGAGACCCTGTGAGTAGACCAGGCCTTCCCTTGCTCGGAGCCAGTTCCTTTTGTCCAGTAATTTAATGTCCTGCTGCTTCTGTCAATAATTATAGGGACTTGGTGGGTGTCCATTATGTACAAAACATTGAGTCCACTATAGTGAAGAACATATGATGTGTAAAGCCTTATGCTAATCATGTAGGTATAAAATAATATGTGCATAGGGATAGTTCTCAATATGAGGTAATATAGAAGAGCTGAAAGGAGTTATTGACCTCTAGTAAGTAGATTTTTGTCTGGTTAGAAATAAAATGAACCAGAACAAAATAGAGACACACTTATAAACCTATTATTCTTCCTTTAGGCCATTTATTCTTTCCATGCTCCTTTATACAAGCTGAAAGAAAAGGGGTAGAGGGAAGATTGGTTGTTCACTTATTAAAAATAAACTTCTGGGCCGGGCTTAGTGGCTCAGCCTGTAATCCCGCGCTTTGGGAGGCCAGGGTGAGTGAATTGCCTGAGCCTGCGGGTTGGAGACCCGCCTGGGTAACTTGGCGAGACCTCATCTCTACAATAAAAATCAAAAATTAACCAGGCGCGGTAGCGCTCACCTGTAGTTCCAGCTACTTGGAAGGCTGAGGCGGAAGGATCGCCAGGGCCCAGCAGGTTGAGGCTGCGGTGGCCAGGAGTGTGCCACTGCACTCCAGTCTGGGTGACAGAATGAGACTCCAACTCAAAAAAAAAAAAAAGAAAAGAAATAAACTTCTGAGGAATCTATGACACCTGTGTTTCTAGCCAGGAAAACAGAAATCACCTAAGATCATTTCACAAGCTTTGTTACCCTTATTTTTGGAAAATTTAGCTTTCAAAGAGCGAATGCATAAAGCTTTATTAAAAAATCATTTAATTAGGACTCAATCTGTAGTGTTCTGCAATATGCAATAGAGAAATAAGAGAATTATTCACAATACTTTAGCCAAAAACCTACTGCCATCTTAAACTCCTCACATATATACTGTGAGGCTGAATCTGAGCTTGGGACAGCAAAATGAAAAGCAGAATAAACAATTGTCTTTTCAACCAAAGCTGCTCATCTGAATAATTAAAACCCCCAAAGTATCATTTTACAAAAACTAGAAGCAGGAATTTTCTCAAATTGTCTGAGCAGTTGATAAATAATTTAAGAGCAATCCCAAATTAGTAAAAATACCTCCATTGGCCTTCAGATTCTAATAAATGCCTTGTCAGTGTGTTTTGATTTGACTATGAGGAACTCACATCATAATGTAAGAGTTCAGGCAGGGTAAGCTAGGGAGAGTGCAAAGAGCCATTTTTCCCAGACAGCACCAGCTTTACTTGACACATCCTGCTGTGAAAGAAAAATTTGTGGTTCAAATGAAATAGCTGCAGGGTTTCTGCATATATAAATGTTAAAATAAAAACAGCCTAAGGATAAATTATATGTTGGATATTACCTTCTTTTGAGCTTTTGTGTACAACATTCCTATTCAGGATATATTAACCACTTTTTCTTTATCAGTCAGTAAATCTTATAAAAATATTATCTTATCCTAAGTGGTCAGGGAAAATATACCTACTTTTTAAAAAAAATGTAGACTTGCTATGATCACATTCTCAACATGAGGCAGCATCACACATTCCATCTTCCACTAGCCTTAATGAGATGGCCTTGGGTTGTGGATGTGGAACCCAGTGCCCTTTGCTGATTACATTAGGTGATTAACATCAAGTATTGGTGAGGTAGAGAACATGAGTTCAATCCCTGTAATGTGACAACTGGATTTCATGAAGTAATATTTGGATTAAAAAAACCACGACTCGAACCACTGTCATGAGAAATACAAGAATATCAAGACACAGCTTCATGGCAGATTGACTCTACTTCTAAAAAGGGACAGACTTAACCCAGCAGTTTAAAAAGGGATGACGGCATGCAACACAGATGTATGAAAGCAAACCCAACTCATCAAACCCAATTGTTAGAAAACAAACAAACAAAAAACAAACTTAAACTTTCTTGTCTTGAGGATGGTTCACCAGTTGTATAATTTCATAAGGAAAACAGAGACAAGTCATTGCTGTTATGTGTGGTTAACTTTTAACTTATGCTGTAACCATTTTCTTTCCTTATTCTTTTTTTCTTTTTTTCCTTTCTCATTCTTCCTTATTTAGACCCTCAACTGATGAGGCCCTGCAGTGGCGTGATTCCCTGGACAAGCTTCTGCAGAACAACTGTGAGTTCACATTTGTTTTTTTACAAAGGTCAAGGTAGGGATAGAAACACCTTTGTGTTGCCTGTGTTCTTTTTCCCTGATTTTGACATTTCTACATTTTTAAAAAGTGGTCTCAACAGGGACAGGTATGGCAGGTGTGTGGTTATCCAGCTCACAAGAAGAGGAAGGTCTACAGCACTGGGAACATGTGAACATAGGTGTTCTGAAGACTCATGATTGCAGGTTGTGTTCCCAGATGTCTTTCTTGTGCAAACCAGAACAAATGGCTTAAACTGTTTGATTCTCAATATTCTAAGCAGTAAAATAGAGAAACAACCTTTCCTGGCTTAGCCTCATAATGAATTGATAAAGATTGGCTAAAGCAGTGTAAAAATCACTGGACAAGTCATAGGTTGTATATTCTAGTTCAAACTACTATGCACTTCTTTTGTGACCTGACATGGGTTGTTATCTCCCCCAGCCTCAGTTTCCTCTTCTGGTAGCATGCCTTTTACATCTTCATTCAAAATGTGACAAAGGTGCTGACTAATACTAATGCACGGATGAGCACAACTTGCCTTTTCCCTAATCTGAAATCCTTACTGATTCTCAAGGTTTACAGTATCAAGTTCAAGTTTCTACCATTCAAGATTCACCATAACTATTTGGCTACCAGCAGGGAAATGTAGACAAATCGAATATTTTCTGTTCTATATAGGATTTCTACATGTAATCCCTTTGGGTGGAATACCTTGTACTTACATTTCTATCTGTCAAAATTCTCCATCTCCTACAATAGCTAATTCAAATACAAAATGCCTACACTTCCTTGACCACCCAGAACAATTTATCTACCCTCTGAACTGACAGAGCCATCTGTTTGCACATCTTTTATGGCACTTAATACTTGCCTTGTATTCTGTTTATAGCCGTCTTCCATCCATGATAGATTATAAATTCACTGACAGCCAAGATTTGGTCTTTTTCATCTGAATAATTTCACAGCAGGAAGTACATAGTATGGGAAGAACAAATATTTATTAAATAATTCACTCTAAAAGTATAATTAAATTTAAAATACGCAATTCATATTTCTCCATCTTCACCACATGAATGGGACATGAAACTTTGTTACATGCATTGCAAAATAAGGATTTACAAAGATTTCACAAGACCAAAAATAAGGATTTACAATATATTTCTCAAAGCATTTCTGACTAATGGGCACAAGAGTAAATGACAAAAAATATGTGTTGAATTGTATGTGAACATTTTTTATGCCTTGTTTTTGGTGAAGTAAGCTTCTACTTGCCAGAGACAGAATTAATCTCTTATTTTGGGAGACAACATCAAAGTCTCTAATTTGGAACTTTCTCACTTTTATTCATTTCTGACTTTCTTTTTCTTTTTTGTGCTAAGCGGAGTACCCTCCCCTGACATAAGGTATTTGATAAATATTTATTGGATGAATGAGTTAACAAATTAATTAAATTTGCCTCTTGGACCTAGACATTCCATGAGGTCAACTAGGCAAAAAGTTTTTATGTTTATCAATTGATTTCTTGTGTTGCCCCAGTGGTTTGGGGGCCAATAGCAGTTTGGCAGATGAGCTATTAATAAATTGTGAATGCTAAATTCACTGAGTACAGAAATTTATTGCTGTTGTTGAGAAACCTGAGAGTTAGCTGAGCTACTTACATGTTTTCAAAACCATTAAGGAGGAGGGTAAATATTTATGCGCCTGTATATAATCCTTAGAGCCACATGGTCATATATTTCAGGACTTCAGGGGACAGAGATCTATCAGGATAAGAAAGCTAGGGGTAGGAGTTAAGTCACAGGCAGTTAGTGTTAACACCTTAGCATTTGTTGAGGGACTGAAGGCCTTCAGTTTGCAAACAGGTGATTACCATGGTATGAAATTGCGGCTTGAGAGTCTCACAGTAATATTTTTTACTTTTTCGAGGGAAAAACCTATGTGTGTTTGTGCATATGTATGTGTATGCACCTACTTATGTATATATATCTAATATTTTATTTAATTGTTTATTACATATTTTTAAATTATACATATGAATATAATATGCATGTGTGTATATGTGTTTGTGTAAAATAAGTTCCACACAATTATCCTCTTATGTAATTATATTTATAAGGCTTGGGCAATTAATATCCCCAAGCAATAAGTGGAAAAATATTTGATAACTATTCTGCTCAATTATTTATTTGAAAGGGATACTTATCCATTCAAACTAGCTAGAATATAAAAGAAGTTTATGATACAGGTACAGTATAGGGATCTCACAGAAACAAAGGAGAGCCATGTCCTATGGGAGGTGAAGCCATTAGTAAAGAAGACAGTCTCTTCCCTCTCTATTTTTCTATTCTTACTGTCGCTCTCTCCTTTATCTGTCCATTCCCCTCTCTGTGTGCTTCTCCCTTTGACTCATCTTCTTTCTCTGTATCCCCTCTTGCCACTGTATCTTTGTTCTTTCGGCCATTCCTAGAGAAGAACCAGTGGAATGACTAGCATGCCCAAATAATTGTACCTCAAATTCATTAACCTGAAGAAACAATATTTGACCTATTTCCCCAAACACCAGCTATCGTGCACCATGAATAACTGTAAGCCAAACTTTTGTAACTCCGTTCTTATAAGATATTCATATTTGGATCTGCTAAAACTAATAGTCTACAATCAGAAAATATCTAGTACTAACTGTGATTAATGCAAAACAGATAATGAAGAAAGATATATTTGAGAAAAATATATGCATCTAAAAGTTCACAAGCCCTTCTTGCATGTTTGAGTTGGTAAATTTAAACCATATAAACTTGAGGAGTAGCATCTTTGTTGATTTATAAGGGACATTTGACATTCTCTTGTGCTAATGCAGGATATTGACTTTCATCGTTAATATAGTTCCCCCAAGCATTTCTTAAATTCACACCTTTCTTAATTTTTCTTGATTAGAAATGAAATCTGTTGGTACCAAACCTCTTTTAAAAAAGACAGTTAAGCTTGTATTCAGTCTTATCCTTTTTAGGGTCCTCTTACCTTTCTTCATTTTTCAATAACTTCTATCATCCAGCAAATCTGACTCTGTTCTGAAAGCACATCAACATCTTACATGTTTTGCCTTCAATTCCGTAAGTGGCACCATCTGTTTTCATATAATAGGTCCATAGGGCATATAACCAGTGTGTTGCTCTTATAACACAAAAATAGATTGTACATGGGAGTTTAAACAAGACAGTGACATTTTGTAATTCCATTTTTAAGAGCAGAGGAAGAATGAAACAGTCAAGTAGCAGCAAAGTTTTTATGTGGATCTCTTTTCCCCAGGAGTTTCAAAAGGTCAGAACATTTCCTTGAGACACCCTTGAGATCTGTGTTCATCCACAGGAAGGAAGTAGCCTGGATCCAGATTCGTCTGCCTATTTCTATCTTTGGACCCTCCATCTGCTTCTTTCTCTTTGCCTTTCAGTTTTCTTCCTTCTCTTCTCTGACTCTTTCAAATCATCATCTTACTCACTGGCAACCACAACTTTCTTGATAATAATTACTATAATAATAAATGTAATATATAATATTTATTATTCATGTGCTAGGCATGGTCCTAAGCACTTTGCATATATTGGTTTATTTAATGATTACAGTAATATTAGGATTTAGGTATAGTCACAATCCCTATTTATCAGAAAACAAACTGATACACAGAAAGTTTAGCTAACTTTCCTGTAAAACAAAACTCTACAGCAACAGCAAAACGAGTGAATTTATTTTTCTTTAAAGTGTGTGTTCTTTGATTCTGTAACTTGGAAGAAATGCTTCCCTTAATGTATCTTATTTGGTTCAGTGAGAACCTCTATTAAATGTTAGGTACACAGATGTAGGCTAGGAGGTGGGACACAAAACTAAAGGGCAAATTCAAACCTTGAACTCAAAAATTACTAGTCTTATGAAAAAGATGGCTGTATAAGCAAACAGTCTCAACAAAAGAACAGAAAGCAATCTCTTCTCTTACAGTGAAAAAAATCCTCAAGAGCAAGTCATTAGTGGTGAATAAAGACTATGTCACAGATGAGGCAGCATTTGAAATGGGTCTTGAAGGGTGATAAAGGTTAGTTTTAAATGTATATGAATAATAATGATAAAAGTTAGCATGTAGTGAGCTACATAGTGATCATTATGTTCAGCACCACGCGAAAGCTTTAAATAAATTGTTTAATCCTTACCTCCGTCCCATCAGGTAGATTCCATTATCATCTCCAGTTAACAAGATGAAGCAACAGAGAGATTAGATTACTTCACCAAGTTATTGCAGTAATATAATGTGCCAGGATTCACCCCCCAGGCAATCTTGACTCTAGAGTTCATGCTTTGAACCAATAAGCTATGTAATAGTACTTGTCAACTATCATGCCATTTCACTTCCCCCCAATCCCCCATTGAAGAGATTTGCACGAATTTAGTTTTCAATAGTTTTTTCTTTTTATACCAAACTGACTTGGATTTGCCTAATGCTCCTTTTATTTTCAAAGTGGTTTGTTTTACAAGGGGGGGCACAAAAAATTCAGGATTATTTTTTGAAGGGCAGACTCCTTGCAACACAGGCTTTCCCCCTAGGTAAGTGTTCTGTGAACTCGTTGGCATCAGTGTACCAGCTAGCTTTATTGTTAATAGGCTGCGTTTGGCTTCAGTGATTTTTTTTTTTTTGAGATTCTTTTAAAACATGTTTGCTCATTTCATGATGGGTGATTTATGATGAGTGCATGCCTACACCATGCTGAGTGTTCGGCAGTTTTTGACAAAAAACCAGGATGACCCCCATGTCTCACTTTCCCTATTCATCTGGTCTTGCCCAAAGCAACTTTTTTTTGTTTCCCAAGGGAAACATTTTACAGTTGTGGAAGAGGTGAAACAAAAAATGGCAAAATCACTAAAACGCATCAAAATTGACAAGTTCAAAAATGGTTTTGAGCAGTGGAAAAGCGCAACAAATGTAGAGTACTTTGAA